CGCACGCACGCACGCACGCACGCACGCACGGACGCACGGACGCACGCACGCACGCACGCACGCACGCACGCACGCACGCACGCACGCACGCACGCACGCACGCACGCACGCACGCACGCACGCACGCACGCACGCACGCACGCACCCACACACACACACACACACACACCACGCACGCACGCACGCACGCACGGACGGACGGACGGACGGACGGACGGGCGGACGGACGGACGGACGGACGGACGGACGGACGGACGGACGGACGGAAGCACGCGCCCACACACACACAACAACACTTTAACTCCCGAAGGCCAGATCTCATCTTTCGAGTACAGCCGGTAAGTTTCGAGTGGGTAGGTATTCGGGTGGCGAGACCGATGGCTTCCCTCTAGAATCGAAAACGTTGCCAGGACAAACAAGAAGCACTCACAGCGACAAAAAAAAAACAAAAATACTTTAAATCACTAGACCACGGTTGGCCCGAAAGCAGAACATCGCAAGCGAGGTCGGCCCAACGCTGCATCCCTACACGAAGCATTTGTGAAGCAAGCGCGAGACAGCACCAGGCAAGGTGCTCTGCGCAAACTGGTCGGCGCAAGTTGGTCTGCGCAAGTTGCTCTACGCAAGTTGCACTGTGCAAGTTGCTCTGCGCAAGTTGCTCCGCGCAAGTTGCTCCGGCAAGTTGGTCCCTGCAAGTGGCTCCCTGCAAGTTGCTCTGTGCAAAGTGCGCTCCCTGCAAGTTGCTCTGTGCAAGCTGCTCTGCGCAAGTTGCTCTGTGCAAAGTTATTCTGTGCAAGTTGCTCTGTGCAACTTGCTCTGCGCAAGTTGCTGTATAATGCAAGTTGCATCTTGCGACGCCCGCCTGCGGACCAGGGAGGAATCGAACCCGCGACCCGCCGGTTCCGGGAGCAGGCGCGCGAACCACGAGACAACTCCCGAGGACCAGTTCGAACAACAAAAGTCGCAAAAAACCTTGAGTTTTTGCACCTCGACCACGCCGATTCCCGCAGAGGGTTGCGCGAGCACCGCAGAAATCGCAAAAAACCATGGGTTTTTGCACCTCGACCACGCCGATCCCCGCAGAGGGTCGCGCGAGCAGGTTAGAAATCGCAAAAAACCATGGGTTTTTGCACCTCGACCACGCCGATTCCCGCAGAGGGTTGCGCGAGCACCGCAGAAATCGCAAAAAACCATGGGTTTTTGCACCTCGACCACGCCGATCCCCGCAGAGGGTCGCGCGGGCATGTTGGAAATCGCAAAAAACCATGGGTTTTTGCACCTCGACCACGCCGATCCCCGCAGAGGGTCGCGCGGGCATGTTGGAAATCGCAAAAAACCATGGGTTTTTGCACCTCGACCACGCCGATCCCCGCAGAGGGTCGCGCGGGCACTTTAGAAATCGCAAAAAACCATGGGTTTTTGCACCTCGACCACGCCGATCCCCGCAGAGGGTCGATTTTCGTGTAGTGTCGTTGGCACTACCCCGCCGCCCTAAGAAGAGATTTTAACTCCTCGCAAGTCAATTGCACTTGACTCCTTGCACTTGCAACTTGCACTCAACTCCTACACGGCACTGCCCTTGACTCTTGCACTTGCAACTTGCACTTGACTCTTGCGCTTGCAACTTGCACCTTGACTCTTGCACTTGCAACTTGCACTTGACTCCATGCGCAGACTCGCAATGCAATCCTCATGACTCCTTGCAATGACTCCTTGCAATGACTCCTTGCAATGACTCCTTGCAATGACTCCTTGCAATGACTCCTTGCAATGACTCCTTGCAATGACTCCTTGCCATGACTCCTTGCAATGACTCCTTGCAATGACTCCTTGCAATGACTTTCATGATGATGATTCCTTGCAATGACACCTTGTAATGACTCTCATGAGAACAACTCAAGTGAACCCAGCGGAAGAACCCTTCGCCATGCTTTCGGGAACTGATGCAGGTACGTCAACCTCGCGTCCGAGATTGATGTCACAGACAAGAGCAAAGGTGTTTGTTTGTGCCAGCCTTGCTCTGCCCCTGGCACCCCCTGCAGAGAATCGTAGCATGTGCAAGGCGAAAAAAGTGGTGTCAGGGTAAATCTGACACTCCGCACACACACGCACGCCCCTCCATGAGGGGCGAGAGACACTTTTTCCTCAAAAGATCCTAAGGTCGACCAAAAAGTACTAAGCGGCGTGCGAAGCGTGAAGAAGCACGACCCTCACGAGCACGCTCAGAAGACGGGTTCCATGGATCACCATGGTGCGCATGGGTAGGAGACGGCGCAAGAAGTAGATGCCTGCGTCCTGGACGGAAAGACCAGCTGAGACCGATTACACACGCACACATGCACACGCGCACACACACACACACTCCCACACACGCCCACACACACGCCCACACACGCGCACACACGCCCACACACGCCCACACACACCCACCCACGCACGCGCACGTGCCCGCGCCCGCGCCCGCACGCCCGCGCGCGCACACGAACGCGCACACGCACACCCACGCGCACACCCACACACAGACACACAAGCACGGAAGAAAGTACGCACGCACGCACATTTGGGACCGCTTGGAAAGGATGGTAACTAGGGCGTAAAAGTAGAGTTTGAACCTTGGCACACATAGACAAACTCCGGGTACAAACCTGGTTCACCAAATATGACATACCTGATCGGGATCTGTCTTTTTCCTGTTGTTCTTTTTCTTTTTCTCCCCAATCCATCGTGATTCGCCCCTCTTGGAAAATGCCTTTCCACCCTAGTCATGACTCGCGCATCCCGCCCCCTCGTCAAAAGCAGTCCCATTGTTGAGGATCCCAAACCAGTCGAATCGGACCCTGAGCGCAACTGAACTTAACAATTAAAATTACACCAGCCTCGACCCCAAACAGCAAAAAAAGCATGACAGGTCTGTATGTCTCCTTCATGCAAGGTGCAAAATTGAGTAGCTTATGTGAGCAACACATAGTTACAATCAGTCCATGTATTTTATTGTAGGAAGTCCCCTTTTTTGGGAAGAGGACACATCGCGTCCATCCACACCGAGTCAGTTACGGCCACTTGGCTGGGCTCTGATGCGCCGTTAAGGCCACTTGGCTGGGCTCTGCTGGTGCGCCACAAGGATGCAAACCAGTCAGTTACGGCCACTTGGCTGGTCTCTGCTGATGCACCACAAGGATGCAAACCAGTCAGTTACGGCCACTTGGCTGGGCTCTGCTGGTGCGCCACAAGGATGCAAAACAGTCTTGGCTGGTCTCTGCTGATGCGCCACAAGGATGCAAACCAGTCAGTTACGGCGTCAGTTACGGCCACTTGGCTGGGCTCTGCTGATGCGCCACAAGGATGCAAACCAGTCAGTTGATGCGCCACAAGGATGCAACCTGCACTTGACCAAGAAGCGCGGCACTGGCTTCCAAAAAGCAGCTCAGTACCCTGAGCAAAGCAATCAGTCCCAGTATATGTGTTACATTTAAACCTGCAGTTGACCAAGAAGTGCGGCTGGCTTCCAAAGCAATCAGGCGGATCTCAGGGTATTTGCTTATCGAGAACAAAAGTACATATTTAAGGCCCCTGCTGATGCGCCAGAAGGACGCAAACCTGCACTTGACCAAGAAGTGCGGCACTGGCTTTCAAAAAGCCTGAGCAAAGCAAGCAGGCAGATGTCACGGTGTTTGTTTCTCGAGAACAACAGTAGATATTTAAGGCTTGGCGGGGCTCTGCTGATGCGCCGGCTTCCAAAAAGCAGCTCAATTTCTTGAGCAAAGCAATCAGGCGGATGTCACGGTATTTGTTTATCGAGAGCAAAAGTACATATTTAAGGCCTCTGCTGATGCGCCAGAAGGATGCAAACCTGCACTTGACCAAGAAGTGCGGCACTGGCTTCCAAAAAGCCTGAGCAAAGCAAGCAGGCAGATGTCACGGTATTTGTTGATCGGCGGGGCTCTGCTGATGCGCCAGCTTCCAAAAAGCAGCTCAGTTTCCTGAGCAAAGCAATCAGGCGGATGTCGCGGTATATTTATGTATCGAGAACAAAAGTACATATTTAAGGCCTCTGCTGATGCGCCAGAAGGACGCAAACCCGCACTTGACCAAGAAGCGCGGCACTGGCTTCCAAAAAGCCTGAGCAAAGCAATGAGGCAGATGTCACGGTATTTGTTTATCAAGAACAACAGTACATATTTAAGGCTCGGCAGGGCTCTGCTGATGCGCCAGCTTCCAAAAAGCAGCTCAGTTTCCTGAGCAAAGCAATGAGGCGGATGTCACGGTACATTTGTGTAACGAGAACAAAATGGACACATTTAAGGCTCGACAGGGCTCTGCTGATGCGCCACACAAGACCACCCTTCCAAAAAGCAGCTCAGAATCCTGAGCAAAGCAATCAGGCAGATGTCACGGTATATTTGTTTATCGAGAACAATATACAGATTAAAGGCTCGACAGGGCTCTGCCGATGCGAAACAGGGATGCGAACCTGCACTTGAGAAAGAAGTGATTCCAAAAAGCAGCTCAGAATCCTGAGCAAAGCAATCAGTGTCAGATATTTGTTTATCGAGAACAAAAGTACACGCTTAAGGCTCGACAGGGCTCTGCTGCTGGGCCACACAAGGGGGGAGACACAGGGAGACAAGCGGGAGACACGACCCCAGAGCCAGCGTCACGGCATCTGGGGCCGTGTCTCCTGGCACAGCCTCTGGCATCTGACCGAGGAGATTGGGCAGGGAGCCAAGCGGGAGACACGACCCCGGAGCAGAGACTGGGAGACACAGGGAGACAAGACACGACCCCGGAGCCAGCGTCACAGCATCTGGCATCTGACCGGAGAGACTGGGAGACAGGAAGACAAGCAGAAAACAGGACCCCGGAACCGGCGTCACACTTTCCCATTCTTGAAACCTCAAGTTAGAACCCCAATGCTTCGCTGTTTGGGGAACAATGTTGCTTCTCCTGGTTGCTTGGACTCTCCATGGACGTCTTTCAATCAATTTGGTTTCGTTCGGCAGGTTCGAACACGAAGGGGTGCGGCACTCAGGTTAGGTTCACGTCAAGGCGCCTTAAAGGCTCACAACGTACCTCCAAAACGGAGCTGAGGGCCCCTTTTTTGGTGTGAGGGGTCGACCCATAGAGCGCAGCATCTAATCTCAATGGATGCCAGCGGTTAGCGTGTGGGGGTCCCGGAGCCCCAAACTTAGCTTCACGAGTCGAACCAAAAGTGCCAGAGCTGAAGTATTGAACCATCTTGGGCCATCCACAACCAGGTGACCCCAGGGTCCAATGCTCAGGACGTTTTGCATGTTTCGTTTAAATCGATAGACCCTTCGTTTGCAAAGGGAAGCCACAACCCTTAGGCTGAAGGGAAATCGAAAGCTGCTGTAGGGGTTTCGGTTGTCTAACCGAAACCCCTGCGTGTTGCCTGCAAAGGAACAAGCTTTCGCAGGAAAAACATCGGATGATTAAACGCCAAGCGCCAAGTGAGGCCGAAACCCATTCAGAGACTGTTGAGCAAGCACTGAAGCGGCTCAGAAATCTTCTACGCGATTGACCGCTGGAGATGTCAGAGGCTTCCGTAAGGGGTTTGGGATCTGAACATGTCACTGAACATGAGTCTCACACGCCCACGAAACACCCTTGTGCTTAGTTTTTTTTGAGGAGAGGGGGGGCAACCAAAACAAGGGAACGAAACTGTTGGACTCAAAAACTACAATCCAAGCGCGTTATCGCATTCCTTGAGTTCCTGCACTTCATACTGGTTGGGAAGTATTTTGCCTTTTTTTCTTTGGCCTGATGGGGAAACCATGCCGACTCCCGGCAAGGAAGGACTTGCTTGTTCTGGACCCGGAGGACGACGTGGAAGTCATCTCCGAGGCAGTCGTCTAAGCCGTTGCTTGCTCCATGTCAAAGCTGTTTTGCGCCCACACAAATGGCTGTAATTTCTTTTCGGACAGGAGTTATTGAAACATGGTTGAAACAGCCATTAGACGCTGCCAAGGATTCAATTTTGCGGAACCATGACAATCCCTCGCAGGCATGGTCATCAACCTCAGGGCTTTAGCCACTTCAACGTGGATATTTTATAGACTTTTAGTTGGGAACCTTTTGGTATTGGATTTCTGTCCAAGCATTCTCGGGAGGATGGTCCAACCAAAACATCCATACCGCAAGCGTTCTCCACCGGAAGGGCAAAGCGCCGAAAGCGGAGTTCGAGGAGGCTCGCGGCGAATCCTTTCGACCGCTCTTGTTTGGTTGGGACGCAGTCTCTCAAATCAGCGACCAAAGCTAAATGGGTCTTGAAAGATTGAACAAATCCTGTTTGTTATTGGTTTCTCCGATAAATTCAGTCGTTGGCATCAATCCGAACACAACCTCGATCACCTTTTGACAAGTCATTTGATTTGGGTCTGCCTTTTCTTGAGGGTCTTCGATTTGAGGATTCAAAAGGACACCAAAAGGAAAACCGCCAAACATGGAGGGGCCGCCCAAAAACAGAGACCCCCCATTTGCTTCCGAAAGGTCTTGGGGCCTTTAAGCTCCAAGGCCGCTATTTTCACCATCCAAGGCAACGATGGCTGAAGGAACGGTTCAGAATGCAAAAAGGAACCAACCTCTAGAATTGAAGGAACTCCACCATGAGCTGACACATGCTCTGGTGGCCCAGCTACCAGAAATTTTGAGCGTGCTTGAGTTGGTGGTTATAAGGCCCCGGTTACCCTACTTATTTCCATGGTTATCACAGGCTCAATGCACGAACTGTTTTGTTGTTAAGGGCGTTTAAAGGGCTTGGGTCAAGAAAGGGTATTTGAGAATTTGCCATCTACTTTCGCCCACACCACACTCCTTCAGATAGACATGGAGGCCTGAACTTCCTTTCGTTAGAGGAACCGCAGGGGTTCCGCGAGCCAGGTGCTAGTCCCCGATCGTTCCTGGAACGAACCCCCTTCAAATACCCCGCTTTGCCGGGGCTATACCCCCCAACATCTGCGTTTTGCACAGGTTTTGGGGTTTTGGGCGTGGCCAGAAGCTAGCAAATTCCTTCTTTTGGTCTTGAAGGTTGACGTACCCCCAAACAGTGGTTGTTGGAAACCTGGCGGTGTTTTTAGTTCAACCCTCAGGGTCCGCTTCGACGGTCCTTAAAAGGTTCTGGTTTTGATGGACCTTGTGGAATTGCTCTTCTCCATAGGACTTTTGAAGTACTTCTAATCACCCCTTGGGCAACCCCATAGGGTCAGAGGGGCTGGTGGTGTAAAGGGTACCCTTCACGTAGAGTGCGCTCCGAACTCCGAGCCGGAGGAGCCGGAGGAGCCGGCAGAGCGGGAAGAGGTCCTCAGCGTGAATGAGCCTTCGGAGCCCCAGGCAGGACTCGTGAGCTTAAGGTTGAACCTGTGGGGAACCGACCAACCCAAAAAAGTTGCCAACCCCAAAGCACCGAGAGAGATGGGTCTCTTTGTTTTGGGGTTGGCGCCTTGTTTGGGGATGGCTAAAAGGGAAAGCCGAGGCCATTGTGAAGGGGTGCCTTAAAGAAAGACACTCAAAGGTCCACAAGATCCTTGGGTTACGAAAGGAGTTGGTCTCTGCGGTGTTCTGTGGGGACTGGGATTGGCCAACAGTCCATGTTGAAGAGCCCAAACATGCTGTGGACAGACAAAATTGGTGAGGGATGAAGCCCTTGGACAAACTGCGTACCAACTGGTGCGAAGTTGATTTTGTTCATCCACAAGCCAGGACTACCCACATGGGGGAATGCCCGTTGAAGGAAACCATTCGCCGGGGTCGAGAGACGGGGCGTCAACCGAAACCTTCGTGGACCCCAGCCTTGGTGAATTGTTGGAGTCCATGTTGGGGGTTTGTAACTAGACTGCACTTCAGTTGCAGCTCCTGAACCTCATGGGGTTGAGACGGACACCAAAAGGAAGCAAGCCGCTGGTTCGTTGGTTTATTCATGTTGTAGTTCTTTATTTATTTAGTGGTGCATTTATTTTATTTATTTATTTATTATTATTTATTTATGTATTCATTTATTTATTTATTGTTTTGTTATTCGTTTACGGATTTCTTTATCTATTTACTTATTTATTTCTTATTTATTTGGAGGGGAGACTTTTTGTGGATTTCAACATCACGTTCTGGCCGATCTAATGAAGTTTCCTGTTGGTGAGTGACGTGGAACGAGGAGATCGTTTTTTGGGTTAGGGGGGGTCACCATGTTGAGGCAAGAGCAGGAACTGGTTGTGGAAAGCCTTTGCCAGCCTTGTGCATCGTTCAGAGCGCAGGGAATGAATGCCTGTACCTCATCATCTTCAAGAATCCTCTCTTGCGCAAACTGGGCCAGGCCTCTTTTCTCAAAAGTGATTGGTGGAGAGAATGGTGAATAAACTCCTAGAATTGCTTGAGAATTGGAAATCACCCCTGAGGAATTTCTGTAGCGTGGGCTTCCCATCCTCACTCCTAAAAATCAGATGTCCAATTTCTTGCCCAAAAGAAGCGCGCCATCCCCCTCCCCTTCTTGGCATGTCAAGAAAGGAAACCGCCCCTCCGGTATCCCGTCGATCTCGATAGGCGGAGTCAAGACCAGTGCTCTCCAAGCAGCAGCTGGAAGAGGCGAAAAGCCCCACGCGAATCGCTTGGTTTGCTGCTGCGAAGCAACTGATGAAACTCATGAGAATCCGACTTTGGTATGGATTGCATCCCAGCATGGTTCTCAGCAAATTGCTGCCCAAGTTTCTGGACTGTGACTTGGGTTTGGATTATTTAGTGAATAAGAACTGTGGTGACCTGTTTGGAACACTCCGTGGAAGTGAGCCGGTCTTCGTTTGGAGCTTTGGATAAAGCTAGGGAGTTTCCTATTTTGATATGGAGCATTACAATCAACATCTGAGGTTCGGCCGAAAATCCGGTGGTCTACGGTCCATTTGAGAAGGACATGGGGAGGAGCTCTAAATAAATGTCCATCCAACCAAGCTTAGGGACTCACTATTCTTGTATGTCCTCTTGTGTAAACAAACAATTGTTCCGGCTCTGGATCGGCAATCCTCGCCTTCAACATATTGTTGTGAGATGCAAATTTCCTTCAATAGCTTTGTGTGTCCATGTGTTTTGATTGTGTCTGTGTTTGTTTGGTTGTTGTGTTTGGAGTTTCCAAAGGAAGTGCCTGGGTGCTAAATAGATAGATCTTCCCAGGAAACCAAGAGAGGACTGATGGCTTCTTCCCTCCAGATAACTGCATGGAGTAATTTCTGTTCCTAAAACCATGTTTTCCACAGATCGCTTTCTTAGTCATGCCTTGACATCATGCCCTGAAAAAAAGCAGTATTAGAAGTGGGTTCAGACAGAGAATCCCCTTTTTCAATCAACCACCAACAAAGGGTGGCCTTTTGTTCCATACGGCTCGAGCTCACCCAATTTTTGGCAGTTTGCGCAGACCTTTCCGAGCAAGCCCATGGTTGTGGTGAAGATTTTGTTTTGGCTGCCACTATCACTGGCGCACAACATCTCTGAATTTCATCTTACTCCGCCCTTTTGAACTTGAAGTTAGGGAATTCTGGAAGACTTCGAAAGGGGCCAAAAGTTGACCATGTAATCTCCTTGCGGATGCAAGACAACGGGTTTGAGCTCTCCACTCCCCCAAGAACTAGCCACACAACAGGGAATATGCCAACCGCTTCCTCCGGTGGTAGTGGAAACCGTCCTACCCCCTCCAAGTACCTGCCATACTTTTCTTTTAAAGGGCGTATTTCCATTTACCCGACTTTCCATGGATTGGTTCTCCTTCAGTCAAGGGCTAACATCATAAGAGGGCCAAACCTTCTTTTCTAGGTTGCGCATGGTCCACAACTCTCAGAAATATATGGAATTTGCAAACCAAACCATATGGATTCCAACTAGAATCTCCAATCAAATGTTGGGTTCCTCAAACAAGCAAAAAAGCGCAACAGAATTGGGCTAGCTATGTTCCATCAACTCACCAAACCCAACGGGTTGCCCTGAGGTTGCTTTGGTAGATCTCTCGCAGTGAATAGGCGGCCAAGATGGCAGAGCACCGGAAGCGCTTCGACAACCAGAAGTGCGACGAATACCGACGGCGTTTCGTGTGGTCATCATGTTGGTACTCGATCCCTGCTTAAATTATACTGTTTGGGAAGACCAGCTTAAAGGAAAGCCAACTGTTCAGACTTTTGCTGAGCAATCCACTCAGGAAGTGAGTAGGGCAGGTTTGTTCCTTGTGCTTCCTGTACCCCAGATGTGGGCGAAAACTTTGTAAGTTGTTTTGAGGGGAAGCCAAAATGCAAACCACCACTCCGCCCCCTTCGGAGACGAAGCTATATCAGAAATGTCATTCTTGCATCAAGCTGAAGTACTGGAGTTGTGACAATTATGTACATCAAGGTATGAAGAATTGCAAAATGGATACTTGTCCTTTGGCTTGCTTTGAAACTAACCCGGACACAAGACACACTGCTGAGGAAGCTAGGGTGCCACAGACCCCGCCCCGAAATTGGTGGTTTTGCTCTTGGTTTCCCCACTAAAGCGGGGGGTCCCATAAAAATGAACAGACCCAGATGTGTTTGTTCCTTTTAGTTTAAAGGGTGGTGCTTCACCCTTCCTCCCACAACGGCACCCCCGTGAAGAGGAAATGGTGGTGCATGCGTACAAGCAGGCGTTCCTGCGTGATTGGCTCTCGGTGTGTGATTCAAGGGACCCAAGATCAGGGGACATTAGGTGGATGTTTTCCCAGAAGGATTCCCTCCAATTAAAGTGGGAACCCGTCCCAACATTGGTCGCCAAGTGCGCCAACACCCTGCAGTGGCTAAGTTGGTAAGATCTGCTTCCCAGTTTAGCAAAGTTCCTTGGAGATACATTTGGGCCACTTAAAAAGCACTTTTCTAGCTGAGTTCGAGGATCCCCTTGTATACAAAGTTCTGGATGTATCCTTTCCATAGTCCTGGATTGCAAACGCTTCGCGCCCGCCTCGGCCAGTATCCTATTGGTTTGAGGTAATGTGTTCTGGTTTTCCTTGAAGTGTTGTGCTTCTTCGAGTGAGGGAGTCCACGCTTCCACATGGCTTCAAGGACTACCGAGTGGCGCTAATTTTCAGGCAAGCGAGCGCTGTGGAAGTAACGCCGGGCGAGAGCTACGTGGCTGGCCGGGCTGCCTGCCTCAAGTGCGGTGCACTGGGGCCGAAGGTCGGAGGAAGGGGCTGGGCAATTGAAGCACACCAGCCCAGGGTCGGGACAGGGGGATTCGCTTGATCGAGGCAAGCGGCTTGGGTCACATCGCTCGAAAGAGCGGGCCTGAGCAACCCCAACCCAGCCACCCAGCCCGCGAAGCGGAGGGATGGGACTGCGTGGCGAACAACCTCTCAGCGCACCAAACATGTGCTGGAAGAGGGTCAACTATGCACAGAAATCCAGTTGCCCTTCCTCCCACTTGCATTTGCGCGAGGGCGCCTGGAAGACCGCCGCCCCGTGCAAGTGTTTGTGGTCGGGCGGGAAAGAAAACAACCCCGGAACCCGCTTCATTAACTACCGTTGTCTTGCAAGTGTTCGCTGCGACTTTTTTCGCGCAGTGTTCACCCCAAATTATTGAGCAAGAGGCAGGAGAAGAGGGATACGTGAGAAAACGGCTGAATGAAGCCCAGGCCAAAGCCCAAGCCTAAGTTGCAGTGTGCTATATTGGCTCGGAGGGCCGGCTGAAGCAAAGCCGCCACCCCTCCTGGGCCTGCCCGCACTTCCCCAGCCAATGGTTGAAGGCCTGCGCTTCCTCCAGCTCCCGGTCGCGCTTCAGCAGCAGCGGCTGCAGGTTGAAGCTGGGGGTGGGTGTTGCGGACCACCGCAGCATCTGCGGCTTGTTGCGGGCCTTCATGGACATCATCCTGCTTTTGATACCAGCACGCTTGCGCTGGACTGCCTCTCCAGCGTACGCAGCGCCTGCTGCTTGCGCGAAAGCTGCGGCGGCTCTGTCTTGGGCTGTGCTTGGGGCGGTTTATTCTTCCTGCCCGAAGGCCTGCCCTGCGCTTTGGCGCCGGCGGTTGCGCTTCCGCCGGTTCCTCTTGCAACTCCTCTTGCGGCTCCTCTTGCGGCTCCTCTTGCGGCTCCTGCGGCCCTTGCTGGCTGACGGAGGCCGTGCACCGCCAGGTTCCGCAGCTGCGGTACGCGCGCGCCAAGCGCCGGGCGTCGAACAGGCGGCGGAGGTTGCCGCGCAGTAACCGATAAAGAGAAGAAGACGCTCCGGTCCCACGGATTCAACCAGCACCCCCGCTTTGAGCAGGTGGGCTACATTGAGCAAGGCCTGCCGCTGAACCTGCCAGAGCGCAACGCAACCTTGTACGTCACAGCCACTTCTACCTGGACGACCCCAACCCCCAGCTGCAGCACACACTGCTGCAGGCGACATTTGAGGAGGGCTTCCGCACGCCCACAGAAGCGACGGAGAAGGACGTGGGACTTGCCCGAATCTACCGGGCTACGGCCACCGCATTATCAAGGACGACACGCCAAACATTGTAACATTCTTCTCATGTCCACCGCCAACAAAAACAAGGGTGGAGAGTAGCTGTTGTCCAGCAATTGGCGTCTACTGTCAGGATTTTACCTTGGCAACCCGCCTCTCGTAACCCGCCCAAATGTGCTTGCCCAAATGTGATCCTTCCTTGTGGAGGTACCAGCGGGAGGCGGAAGGCAGGGATTGGATTTGATTTTCCGTTCAGCTTGCAGGTTGCGAAGGGCTGTCAAGTCGTATCCAGGATGAGCCAGACAGGGGGCAGTTCAGGATTGTGCTGGTAACCGGCCTTTTCCGGGCACGACTATGGATAAGGTAAAGCCTGGCATTCATAAAAACCAAAACAAGCACGAATATTTGGACTGAGGGATTAGAAGTAGGGGGTCCTTTTTTAGTGGCTTAACATCATTTAACATCATGCCCGTGAAACAGAAGGGGAACTGGGAGAAAAGGGTAGTTGAGGGTCATTGCGCAACCTTTTGTTGATTTTACCAGAGAACCGACAACCGGACAAGAGGGATTTTGCGAAGTGGATTGTGTCCAACGGTGTTTCATTGTGGGAAATGGTTTCCTTCTACTCCAAGAACCCATTGTCTATGGATGTAAAGATACGTGTAGCATTGAAAGGAATCCAGTTGCAGGGGTCGCCCAACTCCTTTCCAGGAAAGTGCAGGCCATCATTTTTCAGGATATGAATCGGACCCTTTGAGTACGGGGTGGCTTTGGGGGTGATGTGTGGCTGCTGAATTCCCTCGAGTTTGCAAAAAATGCTTCGAAACGAGGCAGGGGATCTACTTTTTCCAGACCAGCCTTTCAACTGTTTGCCATAACACTTGATGAAAAAATGACTATTCGGAAAGTCATATGGAAAACTGTTGGACAAGGGGGTTCTTGCCGGCTGTCTTATCTCTTGGGTTTGGGGCTCTTTTGGTTTGTGGCCCACATGTTGACATTACAAGCCCCCACTGTCATTGGGTGTTCAAATCAGTGTAACCATGGTAAGGGGAATAACCCCAGGTAACCATAGGTACCCCAAAAGGCCTTCTATATGAATCTAACTTTGGGGCCATGTTTGTACTCATGGTATAGCCACGAATTTTGGGGTATGTCCTTTTGGGGCAACCGCAAGTTGGCTCATGTGGTGCCCTCGCGAGGCTCGACCGCTTTCCCAAGAGCCGACTCTGGCCTGCCGCAGCCGGCGCAGGCGCAGGCGCAGGCGCTTGCTCTGGTTGTTGCTTGGGGATCCTTTTGTTGGTCGTTTGGCTGGTGCTCAGTGGGGAATAGGGAATGCCCCAAGTCCTTGGGAATGAGCTGTTTGGTGTTTAGGGCTGAGAATAAAGGAAGTCTTAGGATGGACTCTTTATAGGGGTCTCCATTTCTCATCCCTTGCTCAGAACCAGGAGTGGTTTCGCTTGGCGGGGATAGCCCCTTGTTGAAACCACGGGGATCCAAGTCGTATTTAACGTTGTGGATGTTTTTGTGGATTCGGGTGACCTACAACAATTCAACATGACATAAGAGACCCTCTATACTCACATAGATTGACTACCCCCTAGAGCTTCTGCCGCGAAGAAATTCCAAGTCACTCTCGGCATTGACCCTGTTTTGGGCGCAAACGCCCGCAAATTACTGCGACCGCCTTGAAAAAGGAAACGTCTGCAAATCACCGCCATCTGCCTTCAAAAACGGGGCGAACACCGCAAAGAACAACGGGAAAAAAAGAAAAGCGCAAAACGCCCAAATTCGGCGAACACGCCTTGAGAACAACAATGCCTAGGAATTCCTCGACATGTACATCTTTAGGCCTAGCTTTTTGCACCCAACATTCGTGCAAGATATTTGCTGGATTCCAGAATTACAAGAAATTGTCAGCGTTTCATGATATCAAGAAGGTCACAGGATGCTGGTTGTTTCAGGCGTATTTTCACATCTCGGCGGAAAAGGGAGTGTCGCAACATGGTGGACCGATTCGATAGTTTCCGGCATTTGGAACAACCCCAAAAAGGGGTTCCGAGCCTCCCCAAAGATAGAAAGATAATTTCTCCAGACTTTCATGTTTTGTTCCCGCTTAGTTAGAGAGGGTGTTGTTGTCGTCAGGCCCAAGAAAGGAAAGCCACCAATCTTCCGTCGGTCTAGGAAAGTCTTGCGCGACCTTCATGGCAAAACCGACGTCACTGTCCCCTTTAAAAAGACAAATGTGGCCTTACAGGTATGTGTTGAGGAAATACTGTGACCAACCATTTTTACTCTTTGGGCATATTTGGAGAAACACACAATATCACTTGTTTTAGGCAGGGGATGGCATTGTGGCCCTTCTAAGGGGTAGACTTGCCCTGGAGATTGACCATTTGTAGTGGTTGGAAGAATATTGACCTCGCCTGTCAGGACAGCAAGGCGCACGAGTCCATCATGAGCCCCAGGCTTAGCTGATTGAATCAGAGTCTTGGGGTTTTGATACGTCCTCGGGGTAGGGGTGTTTTCTTTTGGTATCCTTTTTAGGCATTTGCGCAACATCCACTGCGACACCACAGTTTCGATTTTTGGGGCTTCACTCGGAGAGCGCTCAACATGTGCAATTCAAGCGAGCCGGTAAAAAACTCAAAGGCAAAATCAGGTGCGCGAGGCAGTCAGCAGTTTGCAGGGGGTATTGAGGGGCCGGGGCTGCCTGGCTCCTTGGGAATATGCTGAAGAGTATTGGAGTTTGCTAGAACTCCTTCCATCGGTTAAAGGGAGTTCTTTCAGCATGGTGGCCCCAACTTTGTTGCATGGCGATCAGACGGGGCATACTTCGAACATCAGCGACACACGTTTTGACACGCCCACCTGAATGGGTGCGTCTCAAACGGACTGGTTGGCGGGTTGCGAAAGCGCAGAACCAAATCAACCACCACGGGTGGCTCAGTCAACACCTGAATGCCAGGAAATTTGTTTTTCAGGGTGCCATGTTTGGGTTTGGAAACTCAAAACCCCGTCCTTTGTTTTTTCAGGGTTTTGGCAACTCCAGACTCCCTCGCTTTGGTCAAGGGGCTTTCCGGGGTCAAAACAACATGGTTGTCTATGGCAAGTTACTTCACGACTTTACCTTTCGGAGCTTGCCACATCAAGCGAATGACCAACCTGGGGCCGAAAGCATTTGACGGCAGGTTGGCCTGCGCAACAGCACATTTGGAACAAGTAGCCCGAGAAAATTGGGACATGGGGTTAAGACCTTCAACGCTCAAGTCACTCGCCCAAAGCGAATCCACATTTAGATCTTTTGGTTTCCCTGTTTTGGTCCATATTTTGTCAACGTGCCAAAAGGACCTTTTAAGATACCGAGCTTCAGGGGAACCAAACTGATCTACGAGGCTCAGACCCCCGACTTTCCAGCGGAAGGAGTCAAGGGCCATCCCCTTATTGACCTCTGAAGTCCGACAGAAACCTTTGAAGCTGACGGCTTTCAAAAGAAGGATGTTCTTGCAATCAACTTTGGCCCAAGAAACAATCAAATCGGAGCCTTAGGCACAGCAAGAGGGGTGGTCCAACGGGGTTCCGTGCGCTGAGGCGTCAACGCATCTTTTACACCTCGCAAGGCTGCGTGGATCTCGGGTCCGCTTTGGCGGCATGGGGGGTTCCAAGTTTGTGGACTGGATGGCAGCTATGACCCCTCAATGGCTGCGAAAGAACCTCAAAAACAGTCAGGACCTTGGGTCATAAGGATTGAGTCCACATGGAAACCAAAAGAGGAGAGATCATTTGACTCCCAATCGGGCAAGCGCCAAAAGACTAGACACCACACCCATGTGAGAAGGCTTTCCTTGCAAATCACTTCGAAAATCGACCTTTATCGGGTTGCAGTTCTGGCCTAAAGATGTTTTGCTGGTGTAGCGAACCAACAGGAATTTTGTCAACGAGCCTAGGGCACATTCCCTTAGAAGCCACGAGGGATGGTTGAGTTCGGGGTCATCATTCCCCCAAGCCTTGGGCCCCTTTCGCAAACAGTTACAGACCATAGAGATCATAGAGCCTTCCTCCTTTGGGGTATGGGACAAGCAGTCGTTGGAGGGTTCTGGCAGATACAGTAGGCAGCCTGGTTGGGATTGTCCAATTGGGTGTTCGCATTGTAAGTTCTCGTCAATTATTTTGGAAAGAAGCTAGGTGCACGCTGCACATCATGAGTATGCATATAGTGGTTTCACATGGTGAGACTCCCTTTTCAGCGCCAGTGAAATCTGCGTGCCACCGGTCCCCAAACAATTGGGCGGGTGGGCCTGGCTGCAAGTCCATTCAGCACTCCTTGTTCTGTTTGCCACGACTCGACCGCAATCTTGCCAGGCCCCGTGCCTTTCAGATAGGGGGATGTGGATCAAAAGCAAGACGGCAATTGTTTGAACAGAGCATGAGAAGAGGGCCATGTACGGATGGCACTTTGTGTACCCATGTGCCGTAAAGCTCAAGAGTCTCTTCCCCGAAGAGACAAGGTTCTGTTTTTCTTGGGGGGTTTCCCTGGAAGTGTTGCGGTTTCCTTGGTCCAGGAGTCAACTTGTGCAGGCTCAAGACCTTGAACCTCACCTGAACTATTGAACCTGCAACAAGCAGTCCCTGAAACGACGGTTCCGACAACAGGAACAAGGAGTTCTCAAAGCAATGGAATCCAAAGCATTTCGAGAGACCCCTGATTGCTGTTTTAAAGGTATGTAGGGTTAGGGACTAACCCCGGCCCCAGTTTATATCAATGTCGACCTCGGAGACATAAACCTATACAAACAGGGGGAACTTCCCCCTAAAGTTTAAAGTGATGACTCCCCACTAAAGCCAAAGACATCCCCATATTACTACACTGGGGTTGATTCATCTGGTGTTCCATTTGCTTTAAAGAAAGAATTTAGTTCCCTAAACTGGGGTTGATGAATCCGGGGTTTCAAATTCAAACAAAAGTTGGTTGCCCAAACTGTGGTTAATTGATTTCCGGGGGTTCCATAAACCTAAGTTGGTTCCCAAGTTACGCGTCGTCTTTATCATCTTGCTAGTCCCCGAAATAAAAACCTCCAGCTTGTGGTGTTCTTTCGGGACTCCAAGAAACGGACTCCATTTCCACATTCCCTACCTATTGAGGAGAGCCACAAGGAGACCTTCGAGTGCCTCCCTGGAGGTGTCGATGACTTTCGATCCGAGGCGCAATGTTCGAAATCGGAAATTGATGAATTTTACACAAACCATGGGCAACACTGCCAGTTTAGTGGAAAATATCATCCTTTTAGTGGTTTTCGCCCATGGCCATCCCATGCAAAGGATATTTAATCAGCCCTCCGGCAGCGCTGGAGGTTTTTCAAATTGTGAACAGCACCTCTGGAGCTTTGGTTGCATCTACAGCTGTGTTGTCCAAAATGTTCAAAGAAACGATTTCAATCCTAGGCTAAGGGTGGAAGGTTGACCAAGCGTTTACCCAAACTAGAACTATACCGGGGTCTCCGCCATGTTTTTTGGGTGGAAGTAAGAAGCAGAATCTGAACATTTTTCTTTGCACCCCAGAGTTGGGCTAGCCGGCTAGCCGGGATTCTGATCCCACCAGAACGCGCCCAACCTGCTTTTGGTTCTTCAGTTGGAAACCTGGGTGTTTCTGCTGGAACCATATTTCCGAATGACATGGCGTGATAAAGAGGGGCTTGGATCTGGTGTTTTCTGGTTGCCAGTGGTTGCTGGAAGCAGCTTATGCGGTGACCTTAATTGAAGGACCCTACAAAAGAATGACGATGGTTAATCTGGTCAGGTTCTCTCGCCTACACCTAACTCCACTAGACCTCGGGTCCCACAGGAATTGTTTCGTTACCGTTCATTATGGTTTAAGCGTGAGTTGTCTGGAGGTGGGAGGGTGAATCCAACATTATCCACTTCTTTTATGACTTCGTCACCTTCAAGCGCAGGGCATCTTATACTAGGATGATTACTCTCTGGTCTATCTTCATGTCTTACATCTCTGACCTGTTGGACAACAAGTCTAAATCTGAGATCTTATTTCCTCGTCCAAAGATGTTTTGTCTAACTATATAGCCGTCAAGTGTTGAATATGTTGATGTGTTTGTGTTTTGTTTTGCTGATGGTTAACAGCAACACTTGGACTTGGGGCTTGAAGACGGGGAAGAGGAGCTGATTCAACCTCAACCATGGTCTAAACAGCAACACATTCCAAGCGAAGGTGTCCCAAGTACAGTGAATTGGTTCCTTTGAGCGGCAATGGGCCCGCTGAAGACGCCGCCTTTTCTTTAGAGAACCCCGCGTCCGCTCCAAAAGGGCGCCCTCAACAGCCTGAGATAGTCTTTACAGAAACGTCGAACAGAAATTTCAATGCTTGCCACTGCTGCCACTGAAACAGCATACTGCTCCTTCAGATTCCCGCGGTCACAGATTGACAGGTTGCAGGCTTTTGAAATCGGAGGGTGTGAGGTTTGTTTATGTTTTGATGCTCCGTACCCTTCTTGTCTGTGTTTGTTTAATGGAGCAAGAGGAAGTCAAAGCTCCTTAGGGTAGGTCCGAATGCGCACGGATTGGTGAGTGTCATCCTTTACAGGGCCCCCCTTTTCAAGAAAAGACTTTGTCTTGCGCACTTCTCCCTTTGGTTGGGGAGTTCCGACCAAAGAGTTATGATACTGCTTCTATATTCCCCCGTCTTATACCCTCCAAGCTTGCCGAAGGACATGTTCAGCTTAAGCCGCTCATGCAATGCCGCAGGGCCAATGCCTCTCCGCAGCGAACTGTTCGTAGTTCTCCTGATGCCCCTAGCAGAACCTACGGGGGCTGAGGATCCGCAGGTCTCCGCCAGCCCACACACTTGGAGTCGCGTGCAGGTGCTCTCGGCCCAGCCACCACAGTGATCCTCGTCTCTTCTGCTGATCTCCACCTCTCGAATGGTTCTCAAACGCACGTTCGTCTCCACCTCCGCCCATCAATGGCGCCTCCTCCGTATCTGCTTCGGCATGAACAACGCCCTCCTCGAAGGTGCAAGTGCCAGTGGCTCGCCCTGCGGCCCTCCATTGGGCCTCCGCTTCCAACACTCCATCCTTGCCACCATCGTGGGTTCTGCGACCACCGTCTCCATTGCCCAGATCTGCGGCAACCCTGGCCTGTCTGGTTCTTCCGGTGCCAGTCCCATCGCACATTGCGGCGCACGGCGCAGCCACCAAGCGTAGCTTTGGACTCATAACCTACGTGTGAGCAATCAGCTCGGACAGTTCCGAAACAACTGCTCCACAAAAGACTTTGTCTCATGCAGAAGCATGACATGTTCTCGTTTCTCAAGTTCAAGTTCATGGACACCCCTTTCTTTTGGGTAATGACCCCATCTGTTAGGTGACATGGAGACTTTAGTGGCAAACCAAGTTGCGAGATAGTCGCCGGAGAATAAAACCAGGCAGCTCCGGCGCCGGCGTATCGGAACAACCACGACCTCTTCGACGACGATGAGGAGATGTTGATGAAGGCGGGGATCGTCGAACGTGTGTCAAGGGGACCTTCTAGGCTGCCCCACCAGTGCCTGACCCCGTGTCGGGTTGGCAGTTGCGCCCTTTAGGGTGACTTTAAAACGGAGTTTTCAGGGTCACTCTTGGGTTGGGCAGATTTGGTAGGCAAGAAGTTTGGTTTTCAATGGTTTAGTTCCAGAGCAATCCGCGCCTTTTGTCGAACAAGACCACAATAACTGGGCAAAACAGCTGCTTGGTAGATTTGCGCGATTTGTCATGGGCCCTCAACATCCTCAGCATGTTCAGGCACGGGTATCCAGAGCCGAGGTTTGGAGTGGCCAACTGCAAAACTGTTCTGACTGGACCACTAAACATTAGCTCATGCCTGTGCCTGAACACAAAGTACACTTGCGCAGCTCGAGCTCGAAAGTCGCAATTGTTCAGCACAACCGTAGCAAGTACGCGAATTGCGCTTGCACAGCTCCAGCTCGATGTGCATTCAAGCGCACACAAGTTGACTCGCATCAACAAAAACACAGCGACAGCGTCAAAGCGTCAACCCGCACAAAGATACTCTTAAAGAGAAGAAAAAACACGGATTGCATTTGGCCCGCGTGGACTGGGAGTCGCACAGTTTTGCTTTGCACGCTATAGTGCTTGGCGTTCCCCAAGCATGACTGCGACCTGCGCGTTAATTACAGGGTCGAAAGTTCTTTGGCCCGTGCGATTCCACAGAGCAGAAAGTGGATTCCAGGTGCAGTGATTCCCAACAGGTCACTCCGGAAAATCTGACAGGAGATTCTCGAAGCTGTGGATGCGTGACTGCCCGAAGCCGAGTCAAGGGGTTCTTTGCATAGAGAACTTGAGCGTCACATGGGCGACCACGGATGGCACCAACAAAGCGCAGTCTCTCAGTCTATTTGTCCTACTATGTTTTCCCTTGCTCTTTATCTGTCTTTTGCTCTTCCGTTTTTTGTTCTTTCTCCTGTGGTTTGTTCTCGCTCTCTCTCTCGCTCTCTCTCTCTCTCTCTCTCTCCCTTTTGTCAAAGTACATGCGGTGTTGTACTACATAGCTTGTACATGACTGCAGGCCTTGAGCTCAGTAGATACTACATCATGCAAAAGGAAGTTGTGCAGACTACAGAGTTGTTTGTGACAACAACAGTTCAGGAACACTTGCACTTGTAGAAAACAACAGTCTGAATTCAACGTGGCAGCGGAGCTGAGATCCTAAACATAGGGGAGCTCCAGTATCCAGCAGTAAGTACTACAGCAACTGCAATAGCAACCACATGCCAAACTACTACGACATGTCAGGAGAAGCAGCATCAGCTTCAGCACAACAAACTACAGGAGCAGAGAATGGGCCAACAGCAGAAACAGTAGGAGCCACGACTACGGGAGCAGGAACAGAATAAGACAACGACGTTCAGAGACTACATCGATACAAACTGCCACCACCCTTCTTTACTGATATGAAGAATGGCTGTTCAAGCTACAAGCATACCTTGGACTCATAGACCGAGACTTCGACCTGGTGCTACAACTGGCACAAGTAGCTACACGACAGATTGAGGATGCAGACATTAGAACACACATACTCGACCCTACACAAGCAAGCAAAGCAGTAGACCTCTCCAGAGATCTACATTACATCCTTATCAACATATGTCAGGGAGCAGCTGCTACAGTAGTAAGGCAAAACCGCTACAACGCAAATGGATGTGAAACAGACTCTTGCAAAACAGGTTCAGCCTACCAGTAGGAACACGAAGCGTTGGCTACCTTACCAAGCTACTGGAACCTACATTCAATGAAGCACAGTTTGAAGAGCAATTCCTACAATGGGAGTACGACATCAACCGCTACGAGAAAGACAACGGCACAGCACTACCAGATGGGATAACTATCGCAATACTACTCAACAAAACCAAAGGAGCGCTGCAACAACATCTCCAACTGCGAGCTGGACAGATCACGAACTACAACGAGATCAGAGCAGTCATTCTGGACTACTACAAGACGATCTCTGCTTTCTCAAGAGCGACTTCAGCCGTAAGCGCAAACTACAATGGAGGACCCGCACCAATGGACGTTGACAACATTTGGAGGAAAGGAAGAAACTACAAAGGCAAAGGAAAAGGCAAAGGCCACTACAAAGGAAGCAAAGGCAAAGGCAAATACATGAGCAAAGGACACTACAAGGGATTTGACAACGGGAACAAAGGAAGCTACAACAAAGGAGGATACAACAAGAGCAAAGGAAAAGGCTACTCAGGATCCAAAGGCTATGGATCAAGCAAGGGCTACAAAGGCCAAGGAAACTACAGCAAAGCAAAAGGAAAAGAAAGCAACAACTACATGACATGCCACCGATGTGGCAAGCCTGGCCATTGGGCCCAGGACTGCAGAGTGGCACATAGGAGAAGGAGAAGAACTACATCCACTAGACCAAGAACAAGCAGATCAGGACAACAATGAAGAACTACCTCAGGATGTGAACGACAGTGGGACTGGTACTACGAAGGAGAAGAAGGACAACACGAGATACTACATGGAGGGGAATTGGAACGACTACGACTATGACAACAGCTGGGATTGGAATGGCAACAGCTACGAAGACACAGCAAACTACATTGGAGGCATCAACGAGTCACACCTCACCATTGGACACATCAGAAAAGCAAAGTCACTACTACACAAGCACAAATCCAAATCACTACTTGGAAAGAAAACAACACACACAACATCATGGAACGACCGCAGCAAGAGCTTTCAACAACTCCTCTAAGAGGACACAACGCAACTGCACTTCGACATAGCAGCAGCAACACAACAGCAAAGAAACAAGAAGATTGAGGACACCATCACACACTTTGTTTGCCCCAAGGACTACGCACCAGACCTACCACTACGACCCTGTGGAGAAAAACCAGTTCCACAACTCTACACGGTTACCAACAAGGAAGATTCCTGTCTATGGCATCAAGTATGTTCCCTACAGACAGGACAACTTCAGGATCATGATACCCTACTACGTTTGTGATGTGAAGTATCCTATCCTCGGTGCAGCAAGACTACTTGATAGAGGATATGGACTCGACTTCAATCCACGACCTGCACCATCACACATGGACCACAACAAGCACACCTCATCAGACACTCAGGACTCTTCACCTACGAGCAGAAAAGATCGACATCCCTACAGGATTTGACATCTACCCAATGACTACAAGCAATGGAAAATCCATTGCTGTGATTCAACCGACAGAGAAAGCAAAACAACAACAAGAACAAATTGCACCGCTCACACACACAGACCAAGGACTGCGACAGATCCCTGGTGGAAACACTGACTACTGGAAACTTGATGGTGACTACGCCGTCAGAGTTCACAAACGACCACGCAAAGCACTCTTCACACCACACAACACGGGCTGCCCAATACCAGAAGGAGAACTAGATGATTGGCGACTAACCATCATCAACAGACAAGGGCAAGAGCCAGAACAACTACAAGAGAACCCAAAACAACTTTCCAAGCATAAGACTAGAAGGTGACAACTGGACTGGAGAAACTAGATTCAGAAGAAAGATAACACCTACACGCAGAGCAACATCAAAGACTACACCAACAAGGCAGAGCTCGCAACCACAACAGCTAATGGATACACCACCAACAAGATCAAAGATTCAACTACGAGCTCCACAGAAGATATGGAGACCTAAAGCAGCATCTTCTACAGACCTTGACACCGCACAACCAAAGGAGACAATACACAGATCACTCACAGCACGGGAAGACAACCAAGACTACTGGGAAAGAGAAGGTGAACACTGGACAAGGCACCACATATCACTTAGATTTACACTATTTACTCCAACTGATGGACCAGGACACCACCAATTAGCACAATTGAGCCACACAGAACTACAATCACTAACAACAACTTTGGAGAAGTTTCACAAAGCAAAGATGACTGGACAGTCATGGGCAACGCAGCACTACCGTTTCAATCACCATAAAGAAAGACTACGAGTACATCCAGGAGAACAACGATGAGGAACAACAACACGAGCATCACAAAGCACACAGAGCAAGAGGACTACGACAACCACAGCAACCAACTCCAGACACACCTACCACACAGATAGCTTTTAGAAGCGCGTTGAGTGTGTCTTCGTTGTCACTTTGTAGTACGCCTTGTGTTCTTCCGCGCTCAAAGATGAATGTTTGTAGGTGGTTGACCATGTGGTCCATCATTGATGGTTTGTCCGGGACCATTGCCGCCATACACAGTTGTGTAGTAACATCAACCGCTGTTAAGACTGGTATGGTCTTTGGGTCTTGTTGTGATTTGATGTAGGCAAAAAGTCTACTTGGATGACGGGTTGTCGTGATTGTTGCTTCTTGTAGTTGAGTTGTCTCAATGACTGTTCGACACGCACCCTCCTACAGCAGCAACAGTCAATCATTCATTGAGCGACTACATTGAACACTCCTCGGACAGATACGCGTTGTCAAAGCACAAGTTGAAAGCAGCTGCAGCATGACGATGTCCACGAAGCACTGTCATCTACCCTGGATAGTACGACATGCAGCACGGACGGTAAATCGCTACGTCATCCACTCAGACGGCTACACAAGAATCGAACGTCGCTGGGGAAGAAACTACGAGTCCCCCGCGTCGGCCTGGGCAATCTCCGTCTTGACCCGGCTGTCCGACAAGTCCGCGAAGCTCGTGTTGCAGACCACGTTGCCCGTGTTGCCGGCGATCACCAGGCAGCCAGGGTTCCTCTGGTTCGTAGTGAGGGACAGCTGCGTCGAGAGGCTCTTCGTCTGCTGGTGCGCCCCGCCGCGAGCAATTTGCGAATTTGGCGAAACACTACTTCACCTTCCACCACAACACAAGAAACTTCCAAAAGTAGACCTACGAATGCAGAAATGCATCTCGCTCGGTAAAGTTTCCGAAGCCGGAGAAAACTACGTCACACCGGAAACAGGCGTACAGAAAGTACGAACAGTACGGAGACTACAACCAGACTTCAAATACGACCACGCGCTACTAAACAAAGTTTCCGCCACACCTGGGGCGCCACGACGAAACACCTACAACCCGTCATTCGCAACACTGTTGGACACGCAACTACAATCGTCCGAAAAGAGACGAGCTACACAAGGCTTCGGGCAACAGACGAACGTGACGGACGACATCTTCCATCGACATCGACGTCAAGTTCACGACCACTACCGGATAGCCCCATGGCCACTTCACCAACCGGACGGCAACATCCACCACTACCAGCACCACCTCGACAAACACTACGACGCATGACTCCGGAAGAAGTAATGCCACTACGACAGAAAATTAACGCAGTGACACTTCCCAACGGAACATCCGTCACTTCCTACACAAACGACGACACCTCCGAAGACCAACCTATAATCTTCGACAACGAAGGTTACAACGAAACACAACTACTGAAAGGAATGAAACACAAGTCAAACCAAATGAAACTGCATGACGTCTACGATGAAGTAGATGCGTCTACAGTCGACGACAACGTCATCAAAGAGGCAATTCCTACAAGGTGGGTTCACAGGAAGAAAGGACCAGGCGTGCAAAGTAGAATCGTCGCAAAAGGCTACACTGGGAAGATCGAGGACGAAGACTCCGTCTACGCCTCTAGTCCTTACACCAATCTCGCGCTACAAATGTCACGGCCAAACTGGATCGCGCGACTAGGCGACGTCTCCACGGCATTTCTACACGGGACGAGCACTACTTGACCATGAACAACACAAAAGATACCGAAGAATCGTTGGTAAACTTCAATGGTTAGCATACACACGACCAGACATCGCGTACGCAACAAAAGAACTAGCACGAGACCTCACAGCACCTGCAGAACTTTCACAAAAGAGAGTCAAGCACTTACTACGCTACTTGCACGGCACTAAACACTACAAATTCACCATAGAACCAACAACAACACTCAGAGCAAACACCAACAACATCCTGCCGATGCCGGCTGGGCAGGATGCCCTACCACCAGGAAGTCAACTTCAGATTTCAACCTCGTCTTTCTTGGAGCAACAGTTGCATTTGGCAGCAGAACACAGGCTACAATAGCACTCAGTTCAGCAGAATCTGAACTCTACGCAATCTGCACAGGAGTTAATGAGGGCCTACACCTCAGAAACCTCCTACTTGAAACCAACATTTGCAGCAAAGTAAACCTACGCATTCACACAGACTCCACAGCAGGCAAGAGCATTGCTACACGACAAGGCACTAGCTTAGCAAACGAGCAAAGCACATCGACCTCAAATTCCTCTACACACAGGACCTCATCAAACACGACATCATCAGAATCCTGAAGATCGACACACTTCACAACAGCGCAGATTTGTTTACCAAATACATTAGCAAGGGCACACTACACAGGCTCATTCAGAGCATTGGGATACGCATTTAGCACTACGAACGACCAGCACAACAACAACAACAACAACAACAACAACAACAACAACAACAACAACAACAACAACAACAACAACGACTTCAAACATTTTTGTATGTAGTAGCTACATGTAACATGACACTTGGTATGTAAGTAACAGTAACTACATGTAATGTCACTTGCACTTTCTGGCGGCATGATTGGCGGCTTCAGTCAACACTGCATGTTTGTTTTTTTTTTACATGTCTGACCGCTTCCCGTTAGCAACTACAGGCTCATGTTAGGTGCCCCGTTTCACTTCATTTTTCTTTTAGGACTACAGCCATGGACCATCCGGCGACTACAATCGCAGAGAACGAGGATGACAACCTTCACATCAACGACACCATCCTACTACGGGCCATGCCCGCACCACCTACAACACAACAGCACACCAAATTCTACATCCCCCTGAGAGTTGAGCACTTTACTGCTTTCTCACTGCAGGACAGGATGACTACAACACAGTCAATCTTTTCTACACCACTGCCACTTCAGAACCGGCTACACGCTTTTATTCACTACCGGGCAAGCTACATCAGCCGGCGTACGACCGACTACAACTACTACATTCAACAGCTGATGCCCACTTGTGGCACTACTACAGCTTGACCGAACTCCACACGTCCGCCAGTCACGTCAACGACTACATTCTTGTAACCATCTCACTTCCCACAGATTACACCCAGCAGTTACTACAAGACAACAGCCTGGGCTACTTTGTTCGTGACTACATCAGTCACTCCACTTCAACCAAGAGCCACTACACCCTTCGCTTGTCACACTACCAGGGAGCATCCCTGATCAACTTCAACTTCAACGACTTCATTTTGCAATATGCCGTGGCCAACGGCTACATCTGGGACTTCCACCTCCTCATCAACACTCAACAAGTACTCCACCTTGACACCCTACACCCCAACGACCGCACATTGCGACGTGCTGCCCACTGCATTTGGAGCAAGACTACAGAATATGATGGTCACTACTTGCTGACCGACATACACGCGCAACTACTAGGCACACTACGGGAACAACGCATCACTATGCAAGTTTTCGCGGTGAAGGACTACAACCGAACGCGTGGGTCAGGTGAAGAATGCCTGAACTACATGCGGGAGCCTGCAACGGTCCAAGCACTACTGGACCTACGCCAGAGTCAGCGTGACTACTGGCGCAACCATGCTTAGGCCTACATGAGGCACAACAACAACAGGAACCTCCTCACGAACTCCGTTCAGTCCGACTACATGAGGGACTGAATCCTGAACAGCGAGAGCTACTGAGGACTACACCTGTTTTCCTTTTTGCACTACAGTAGCATGGATGAACAACATCTGTTTTCATCACTACTGTCAATCTCGGCAGGTGCATTTCAGTTGAAAAATACCACATGGTCTTTTAACTGAGGGACGCTGTCAAAGTACATGCGGTGTTGTACTACATAGCTTGCACATGACTGCAGGCCTTGAGCTCAGTAGATACTACATCATGCAAAAGGAAGTTGCGCAGACTACAGAGTTGTTCGTGACAACAACAGTTCAGCAACACTTGCACTTGTAGAAAACAGTCTGAATGTAACGTTTTTGTTGTTGCTTTCTTTCCTTTCCTTTCTCCGCCTCCTGCTCTTTCATGTTCTCTTTTCTCTTTTCTCTTTAATTTTCTCGACAGGGCGCCAACTTCCAAGAAGCACACACACACATACACACACACACGCCGATTTCATTGTTCTTCTGAGGCAACTGGTTTCATGGAAAGGTGGGAATTGTGCCCTTCCCGCTTTGGGGGACCTTGCCTAATGGGTAGATTCATAGGTTCCAGCAGATCTTCCCTTCAGCTTGTACAATGTAGATGAAAATGGAATCCCTAAACAGTGAACTTTAGAGTCTTTAGGACTGGCGAATGTTGGACTGCAAATTGTTCCCAGACTCCGGGGACCCTAATTTATGTACGTGTATACGTTTTCGTTGCCATTTCAAGAATTAATCTCAGAAAGTCGCACTCCGGCTGAGGCCAGGGACTCTGTTTCACCACAAGACTCTGGACCCTCTGAAGGAGGGTGGAAAATAATTGAAAACAAAGAAAATGAAATCAACGATGCAGCCATTGGCCCTTGTTGCCGTGCATGACCTAGTCCAAAAAGCTGATATAAAGCGAAATGATTTCCTTGAATGAATGAAATGAATGATAGATAGATTTTTATATATATTTTTCGGAAATATATATATATAATATTGAAAAATATGGTATTATATATATATATATGATTTAAAAGCAAATTAAAAATCTAATATTGCTAAGATTGCTTAATAATAATATATATATATTTTGTAAAAATTGAATATATAGAAAAAATTGAAATTATAATGAAATTGATTTAAATTATTATAAAATAAATTGAGATTGATAACAGTGTTTTATATAGATTTATTTGGAAAGATAGATTACATGATACAAAGTATTTTCCTATAACCCGGTATGGCTTCGAGGTCGTATTTCTTGTGTAGCGGTACTCCGGTCGAATATTGTGCTTGTGGCGAGCGGTTATGTTTGTTCGGGTCTTTTTTTTTCGTGGTACAAGCTCCCGCCTTTTCGCGCGGCCAGGAAGGCTCCGATTTTACCCGAAATTTTTAAGGGTTCTTAACATCTTTGTTTAGAATTTCCGTGGCGTAACTCGGCCAATTTTTTGCGAATTTTGGGTCGTTTCCGGCGATGTGGCTCTTAGGTCTCCGGACGTTACCCCTGCAAATTTCTTTAGAATTTGGCGGTTTTCCAAAAAAATAAAAATTCTCGAAATTTTGGCGCCGGGTGTCTCCGTATCCTTGCCTCTTTTTGTGTTTGCTAGTGTGTTCCCGTTTGTTCGTACCTATCTATTTCGTAATCTCTATTTTTCTCTGTCTATCTTTGTGCATCTCTGTGTGTCCTAATCTGTTTCTTTTTGGTGTTTGTGCCTCTCTGTTTCTATTTCTCTGTCTGTGTCTTTCTGTCTCTCGGGTTGTCTCGGTTTGTCTCTGTGTGTCTCTATTTGTCCGTGTTTGTCGTTCGTCTTTATTTCTTTGCGTATTTTTGTGTCTCTTTCTCTATTTCCGCGTGTCCGCGTCTGTTTATTTGGCAATGTCTGTTTATATATGTCTCTGTCTTTATCTTTCTTCCTTTCGTTCTGTTTTTCTTTTCGTTTTTTTTTTTTTTTTGTGTTTGCTTGCTTACTTGCTTACTTGCTTACTTCCCCGCTTTCTTTCTCTCTCTCTTTCTTTCTATTTCTCTCTCTTTCTTTCTCTCTCTTTTTTTCCCTTTTTTTCTCTCTCTCTCTTTCTCTGTCTTTCTCTCTTTTTCTTTTTCTCTTTCTCTCTCTCTCTCTTTTTCTCTCTCTCTTTTTCTTTCTCTCTTTCTTTCTCTTTCTCTTTCTCTTTCTCTCTCTCTTTCCTTTCTCTTTCTCTTTTTCTGAGAGAAAGAGAAAGAGAGAAGAAAAAACAGATGTCTCTCTCTTTCTTTCTTTTTTTCTCTCCTTGATATTACTATCGCCTACAGGATGAGGGATAATTTGTTTGGGTCTTGTTGGGGCATCGGTTGGTCTCTCTCGGGGGTTGGAGGCACCTTCGGGGAGCCATTGCCTCCATCTCGGGCATTTCCGCACGCAGTAATTATTCTTGTTACGGGTCTCTTTCTCTCGCTTTCTCTTTTTCTTTTTTTCTCTGTTGCTTTTATTCTCTTCTTTTTCATTTCTTTCTTTTTTTTCTTTTTTTCTTTTGTTCTTTTTTTCTTTTTTTCTCTTTCTTTTTCTTTTTTTCTCTTTTTCTCTTTCATGTATTTTTTCTCTTTCTATTTTTTATGTTTGTTTTCGTTTATTTGTTTATTGGTTTTCCCCGTTTTCTGTTGTTTTTGGAATCGTGGTTTCTTTTTTTTCTTCTTTGATTTTTTTGTTGGTATTGTCGTTGATGGAATTAACGGTTTTTCTTTAGTATATAATAGAATTGTTGTTTGGTAGGTATTGGTTATGTGGATTAATAGAAATGTTGGTGAATAGTTGTTTTGTTGGTTTTTATTATAAGGAATAAATTTTTTGGTATTTGTGTATTGTGGAAGGGTGTATAGAATATATTTGTTGATATTGATACTATATTTTTGTTAAATTTATTTTGAGAAATTGGGATATAAGGAGAGTATGGATATATATATATACATATATATGAATGATTTTAAAAGATATGGGTGTATGTTTAGTATTTGTTATTTTATATTGCATAATTGAGGGTTTTGTCGTTGTATGGCCATATTGCTTCTGTTGGGCTTGTAAGAAAATATTGATTGATTCTAAAGGTTGGTTTTTCTTTCTTATAGAATCTTCGCTAATATAATTCACGAGCGAAGGGAGAAATAGTGAAAAAATCATGGCTTTATATCGTGAATTGGGTTAATAATGTTTAAGCGGTAATTGCGACTTTATGATTTATTTTTTGAGGTTATAAGATCCTAAGAATTTGGATGAAGAAGTCAAGTCTTTGGTGATAGCCTAGCATTAATTAATTTCTTTCTGTTTTTTTTTGTTCCCCAAACAGTGTGTTTACACTAAGGGGTTCTTACGGTAAGAGAAAAGGCCTTGGTGCCAGATTGAGGCGCCCGCTCTGGCCGCGAGCGTTTTGCATGGTATTTACCGCAGATTCGTGCTCTTGCTTGATGTCAAAGTGCGTTTCGACTGCGCAGGCTCGCACAAAGTGAGTTGGCGACTTCTGTCCGCGAGCGTTTTGCGTGGTATTTACCTCCGCGAGCCCATGATACCGCTGCGTCCCCATCTTGCGCTTGCCATCCTGAAACTCCAAGCGCGAGACGAAGTTGACGACGGTCTGCGTACATGATCCGTCGGCGGCGCCGAGCAGGTGCTCCTTCCAGGCCCTGCCAGTCATTCGCCGGTTCATGCCGCTGAAATAGCCGCGGTCAAACTCCTTCAGAACGTGAGCCATATGCAGGGTCTCCGGCCCAGCCAGCGCCTGCCGCCCGCGGCCGCTCTTGGCCATCTCATCCAGAACCCACGCGTGATAAGGAAAGGATGCCTCGTAGGGCGCACGCGTCCGAAAAAGGAAGGGCAGGCCAATTTGGCGCTGGAGGTCAAGCAGCGCCAGGTGCCGCGCGCGCCAATACTCGGGCGAGAAGGAGGCGTTCTTCAGCGCCAGGCGCAGTGGAACACCTTTCGTCGAATTCTTCGTCCCACCCAGCGTGCTCCACATGACTAGGTCGTAGACAAAGTGGAGCAGCTCATAGCTTTCCGAGTAGCCAGCGACCGGCCCCAACACCTTCTGTAGGAAGGATCGCCGGATGCTCTGTCGGCCCTTGAGCTGCCCACGCCTCCCTGGCTCATCTTCCTCCGACCCGGCAGACTCTGCCTCCGACTCGCTCGTCTCCCTGCTCTCTTCTTCGTCGCTGGGCGACAGCCCCGTCCGTTTGGCCCACTGGCGGCGCTCGTCGCTCAAGCGGACCGCCGTTTCGCAGAGTGACACGTCCCAGTATAAGTGAGGCCAAAGAGCGCACTCTAGCCCGCGCTCCTCTAAAAAACGGAGCGGCAACTTGCGCCGACTCTCCTTGGCGTCCGGGTGGGCTAGCAGAAACAGGCGATGCTTCTCAAGGAAATCCGCGTAAGCGGACGGGCTATCGTCCTGAAGAAGGCAGCGGAAGGCACGCCGGGCCCGCTTGCGCTGTCACCGTGTCTCCAACGCTTTAATCTTGTCCTCGACATCTTCTTCCGACCAGGCGAAGCGGATCATGGAGGAGTGGACCCGATAGCCGTGAGGGACTTTCTCATAGCCGCCGACGTCAATGTCGAGCGGGCGGAGGCTTGCGACAACTTCTCGCGATAGACCTCTTCCAATTTGGAATCCTTCCTCTCCAGTCCTGAACTGGTCAGCTTTCCTTTCAAGTTCCCTGTATGGAAGCTTCCAATTTGGAATCCTTCCTCTCCAGTCCTGAACTGGTCAGCTTTCCTTTCAAGTTCCCTGTATGGAAGCTTCCAATTTGGCATCCTTCCTCTCTAGTCCTGAACTGGTCAGCTTTCCTTTCAAGTTCCCTGTGTGGAAGCTGGTCAGCTTTCCTTTCAGATTCCTTTTGTGGAAGCTTCCAATTTGGAAGCTTTTTTGTGTATATGTTCTCTCTGGGTGCTTAAAGGGCCTGTGCACCTATTTTGGTGTGGAGCTGTCCTCCATTTTGGAAAATAGGTTTCATACCAGATCTGAACTGGTCAGCTTTCCTTTCAAGTTCCCTGTATGGAAGCTTCCAATTTGGAATCCTTCCTCTCCAGTCCTGAACTGGTCAGCTTTCCTTTCAAGGTTTAGGGTTTAGGGTTTAGGGTTTCCAAGATGAAGCGCGCCCTCGACCCCGGGGGGTCGTGGGGGCGCGCGGCGCAAGCGGCATCCCCACCCCTTGACCACCCACATCTAAAACTTTTTAGGGTTTAGGGTTCGCAGAAACCCGGCCCGGGCGCGTCGCGTGCCATTTTTCGCGACGCGAAGAATCATCGAAGGTTTGGGCTTGGGTCTAGCCCGTCGGGCTGCCCGAAAGCTTGTTCCCGTCGTTTTGACGCTGGGGTCGGGCCCGTCGGGCTTCCCGAGAAAACTTTCTGGGCGACGGCCGAAGCTTCCGCGACAGCCTCGGAGGGGCGCGTCGCTCGCGCTCGCTTCCGTAATTTTGGCGCTGGGAGCTGGCCCGTTGGGCTTCCCGAAACAACTTTCCGGGCGACGGCCGAAGCTTCCGCGACAGCCTTGGCAAACCCGCGCCGTCGCTCGCGCACGCTCCGTTATTTTGGCGCGGGGAGCTGGCCCGTCGGGCTTCCCCGGGCGACGGCCAAAGCTTCTGCGACAGCCTCCCTCGCGCTCGCTTCCGTCGTTTTGGCGCTGGGGGGTGGCCGGACGGGCTTCCCGAAACAAGTTTCCGAGCGATGCAAAGCGGGGGGGGATTGGAGCTGGCCCTGGAAGCGGCCGTTCGTTGCTAGAGTTCATATAAAAATGACACTTGTAGCGCAAACGCAGGGAAGTGGCTTTTGGGAGCGGCCGGTCTTTGTTAGAGTTTGTGTAAAAACGACACACGGTAGCTCAAACGTGTAGAATTGGTCACTTGAAGCCTCGAAAGCGGCAAAGTGGCAACTTTATCAAGG